AGAGAAATGTTGAATATTCACATTACCTTACTTAGATTAAATGGCTCCTATGGGCAGTTGTCTGTCAAAACTCTTTTCATTTGCTTTCTTGGTAATTCACTTTAACTGGTGAGTGGTTTCATTATGGAAGTGCATTTTGCTGGCGAGTGTTGAAAAATAACTGAGGTAGATTTCTCTAACTGTTTCTAAGTCACCCTATACGCATTATGATTTCTAGACTTCCGGGTTCGTTTTTATGTTTTTGTTTTTTCTTTTTTTACCTCCTCTCCCCCAAAAAAGGCATTAAGCTTAGACCTTTTGGAAGCATTTAGACCATTTTCTTTAATTTGATTAAATTTATATAACAGAAACCTATAAAAAGAGTCTGTACCAAACCAATTACCATTCCACCTTGACACAACTCTGGGATATTCTAGAAACACTTGTATTTTGCAGAAGTAAAATGGAAATTTTTAGTGCTTGATACACTTAAAGTGATAGTGAGAAAATTTTTAAATTTATGCATATAAGAAAAATACATTCAAGTAAAATCAAATAAAAATAGATAATTATTTTCTTATGTCTTAAAACAGTAGCAAATGATAGGGAAAAGTTCTGTATTAATTAACATTATGGCTAACTATAGACATGAATTTTAGAGCCATTTCTATCAAGTCTTTAGATTTTAACAGCATATTGATATATTTTATTTCACGTTACATTGTTCTTAAAACTGTAATAGTATTTTCCCTCCAGTTTTGATAGTTATTAGCATGTTACTTTTATACTGCAAAGAGTAATTTCTGCTAAGAGTAATTCCTGTATTTTAAAAAAGCCACTACAAAATGTTATGTTATTTGGGGGAAGAAGAGGGGTATTCCCAAAATGATGGCTGAGTATTTTTGTCAGTGATGAGCCAAGAATTTGGGATTAGATTTAGTGATTGATTTAAAGAATAGAATTTCAAAGAAAAGTTTTTGGTACATTAATACCTAGGTATTCGTTAACCTAGAAATCAAAATGAATGCATCTTTTTATTCAGAGTGTTAGTCTGTATGGCAGTTATGAATGTGTTTAAATGAAAGATGTTTTTATACACAAAGGTGCTTTTCTACCTAGAGTCTTAAATTACTATTAATTAAGCAGTATATAATATAATAGATAATTATAGTGTTTTAATGTGGATGCCAGTGGATTTGCTAGTCTTTCTAAATGGCCATTGTTGGCTAATAGTCTTCAGGGGATCATTTATATAGCCATTGTGGTTCTAAAAATATCTCTAAATAGCAGTGGGACAGCCTTTTTTGAAGCATGGATATTATAAAATGCACTTTTATTTGAAGTGTGTTGTTTTGATTATATCACTCAATTACTTTCATATGCGGCAAAAAAAAAAAAATACCAATGTTGAAAAGGAATAAAGGAAAGCTCCTTGTATACAGAAAAATATCAGAACAATATGGTAGTTAGAAAAAGATTTGAGTTTGGAGTATTGGGAATCTGTTCTATTCATTCGATTTTTAGCTATTCTATTCATTAGGTTTTTAACTGGAGATGTTTTTATGTAGCATCATGGTTTTTATTTTAATTAATATTTCTATGGCAGAGAGATAATTAGATAAATGCTGATGAATATTAAATATGGTAGTAGTTTAGGGGAAATAAGCATTTCTGGGTCAAAGCCCTCAACAAAATATTATCTTATGTGAGCTGATTAATTGAACTGAATGCCAAATGGTTTTGCCACCATCCAACCAAACTCTCACAGCCACTCAGTTCATTATCTAAGGCTCTTCCAGAATGGAATGAATGCTTTTGCCAAAGTTTAATGGTGCTCTTTTTAATCTGAGCTATTCATGGAGGAAATCTTGATTAGAGAATACTTCCCACCTCACTAAATTAGCTACGTGTAAGAACATCCCAAAGAGTCTGAACCTGAGTGTCACACCAAGAATTTTACGTGCTGAATTGTCTGAGGTTCTCAGTGCCGTCGCCCAGTGGTTTCTGTATATTGTGGGTTCCAATCTGTAAGGGCCCATTGGAAGGCCTGAAGTCGATTCTAGGTTCTAGGCTGCTCTATGGTCCTTGCTGCATGTATCTAACGCTGAATGCAAAAAAGACTTAATTTCCAATCAGACCAGAGAAGCTAAGGATTCTCATCAACCATGTTTAGTACAGAGATATGTTATAATTTGTGAACATAACTGTTCAGTAGCATCCCAGAGTGATAGCTTTCAAGTTGGATTCCAAAATATCCTAGGGGCTCAGACATTATGCCACTGTTGGATCTTAATTTCAACTATTTAAAACACTGTAATGAGGGAATTCCTGGTGGTCCAGTGGTTAGGACTCCGCAGTTCCACTGCAGGGGGCATGGGTTTGATCCCAGGCCGGGGAATTAAGATCCCAGAAGCCTGGAGGTGTGGCCAAAAAAAAATTAAATAAAAAATAAAACTGTAATGAAAGAGACGCAAAATTTCACATACACATTCCAAATTTTTCACTAGGATGCCAGTGATTAACTTGTGCTGCCAGGTTAACTAGTTTGGGGGCAGATTTTACGATAAAGCTTCCTCTGCCTTTTTGTGCATAGATTGGAAACTTTCGTAAGCAGGGACTCCAGTAGAGAGCTCCTAGCTCTGCTGTGCATATCCACTCACATTCAGACTCCTGTGCATATCCACTCACATTCAGTTGTGCAACCAGCCACATTCCCAGTTTTCCTGTACTGGGCTTAATATATGCCCAGAAAGGCCCAGGCACATCTGTTTGAGAACTTGCTTTTCCACAGAGTAATAGTGGGTTAGACCAGTGACTGTTCACATACTACAGTGTGATACAACACTCTAAGTTTAGGCTTAATTTACATTTTAGGTGCCATTTGTCAAATTAATTTTTTTAGTGAGGAATAGTGATACTTATCTATTATTAAAAAAATAAATACCTTTGAAAAAAATTACCTAATACTCTTCATTAACACCTCTGGTTCATTTTAATTAAGGGCCTCTTGCAACTAGAAAGCAAGCTTTTTTGGTCAACCATTACCGTTTGCAGCCACTTACCTGTTTGGATCAGAACTATCTTGATATTTTGCAGCATAAACAGACCATGGAAATAAATTAACCCCTGCAGTTCATATAGGACTGTAGGTGTCATTCACAACCGCTTTTTATCAGAATTTTGTGTTCTTCAACACGACCTTTTGTTTTGCATTGATAACTTTTAAAGAAACGTTGCTGGTTATTTCTAAAATTCTGGAAATTTTCTAATCTTCAGCATAGAGCTATAGAATTCTGTATTGGGCAGTTCTTTCTATTTCCACATTTGTAGTGTAAGAGAACATCAATGCTATTTAGGATACAAGCTCACTATTCTTACAGTTTTCTACTATTTCAAATAGCTAAAAATTTGATATCCAGAATGTAAATGATATGAGAATTAAATAATATTTTAAAATGAATTTCAAGGTAAGGAGATTGGTTAAAGACTACTATGGCAAAAGGTCTACTTTGCATTCTGAGTGTAAATCTTTTCTGTCATTTTTGAAATTTTATTGGAGGTCACTTTGCCTGTTCAGGAGTTCCGTATTTTATGTAAGCTGGACTTTTCGAAGAACACTCAGGCAAAGAGGCAATAACGGTGGAACCTGTTTTTGTTGGTTGAGGAGGTAGAAAAGGAATTAGGAGGGAGTATGTCATGATCCATTTTACCTGCTTTCTCTTTCCTTTTTTTTTTTTTTTTTTTTTTTTTTTTTTTGGTGGTGGGCCCAGGGGGTTTTTAATTTATTTATTTTTTTTTTTTTTTCTGGTTGGGGTCTTCGTTTCTGGGTGAGGCT